CTGGGGATCTAACCTAACCAACAATAAAACGTAGACGACTTTTGAAAACCATTGGAAAATGAGATATTCACATCTGAAGAAATGTGTCAACGCTACATTTGCCAAAACACAACTTCGGCTTGTAAACATTACATTATTTCCAAGAAGCAATCGAACTGATCAAAACAAGATATGGCCTGAAATTTCTATGTAAACTCTTACCATTTCATTGTGCGATATAATGATAACTAGAGAATGCCAATTAATTCTAAGAAACTGTTCAAATGTTTTATTGTGGCAAATTTGAAACAAAGAGAAAAACTACATACAATTCCGAATATTATTTCAATTTTCAATGATATTTTCACCGATATGACACAAACACACATCTGCTGATTTCATTTCTTTATCTAGAATTTTCTTTGAAAGATATCTAAAGTTGTATGTGTATTTTAAACTGACAGGCAAAATTAATCATTGGTCACTAACACTAAACTATGCCAGAAATTATCAGTACTACACCTTTTTCATTTTGAATTTATTTTGATTGTTCAAACTATTTTAAGTTATCAATCATATTGTTGATAAAGACCAAATATTGTTAATATCAACATTCCCTAAAGTGCTGGCAGATTTCTATGAATGAAAGAAAACACACAAAAGCAGCGTACAGTACCATTAATTTGTACAAAGAAATTCAATTTCCGTCATTGATTTCTACATTCCTTTACTTATGTCTGTGTGATCAATTTTAAACTGTCAGCTTTTTCTCCGATGACCTAAAATTGTTTCTGTTTTGGTCATATAATTAATTCAATAAAGACTGTAAGAATTCTAATGACTATGTGTTACATTTACAAAACACATCATAATCAATGAGTTGTCAGTTGTTTTTGTACTCACAGCACTCTGCGTACAGTTTATCTTCTAAGGTGACTCTGATTCACTCACTGAATACAAAGAAAATCAGTGATTGTTAGCTAAATGAAAGAAAAGTGTTGTAAAGTGTTGTTGTATAAGTTTGATTCAAAAAGTTTGAAAAAAAACGATATTTCAAATTATTTTGTCAATGTTTTTTTTAATCAAAAAAGTGTGATTATCAGCTTATTCATAAACAAGAAGAGATTTCAATCAAGTTTTCTCTCTTACAAAATCAATCAATATCGCTCTATAGATAATCCATTATAAGGCCAAAAAAAACAAAGATGTATGATTGATTCACAACTCATTAGTTTAATTTGTCATAGTTTTCTATACTCTAGTGTTAATCACAGTCGAAATATGCCTCATGTGACACATTTTTGTTTAAGAATAAATATTATTACCGTTTGTGTGATGGCGCTAATTAGAAGCTTAATACAGATTGAGTTTAATGAATTCATTTTCATAAAATCGTTCAAATAGAAAGACATGAGAATGAAATACGGAGATGAAGTTGAGACACAAAGTGTATCAACTCAATGTTATGACACATGTCGAAGTACTCCATAGTCAGACAAAATAAGCCGGATATATGACATGCGAAATAAGCATTGCATGCAGTCACTCAAGGAAAACACGCAAGTCTGCAAGTCGATAATTAACAAGGTGTGAAGATGTGTGTATGATAACTGAAGAAGAATGGATGAATCAGTTTGTCCTATGATTGTGACAAGCTATACGGTCTCAACATATCAGTGTATACTGCAACGTCATTCGAAATATTGATCAGCAGAATTTGGCTGAAACTGAATATAAAACTTTTGAATACTGATTATCCCTAAATATTATTTCTTTTGTTGAAATGTGATGAATGTTCCAAATAACAGTTTCTTGATACGTTTCGAAATAATCTTCTAAATAAATATTGATTTTTCTTTTGAGTATTTTGTCTTAATTATTATCATTATTTTCTAGACACTTCAGAGTGTTATTTCATACCATTTATTATCGAAGCCTTGACATCGAGAAATAACTGTCATATTTACAACTCGATAACCAAACAAAAGATTTTACAGAACCAGCTAGTTTCCCTTGAAGACTTGTTCTGATAAGAAATGAATTGACTGATCTCAAAATGATTCTAAAAGAAGTAGTTTATACTTCATGTGGTGAACTGAAACTTGAAATTATACTTTTGTTTAACAATCAATTACTGATTTTCAACATGATGTGTAGAATAGTATGCATATGAGAAACACTTTTTCAAATTTCCATTCTTAATTGATTTTCTATTGTGTTATGAATTTGGTCAAATATTCAATAATTATTAGTTACATTTAAAAATGGAGTATATCTGTGAAGTTGTGTGAGTTCATACTAAACTGTAGTTAAATAACATGTGTTCGCACTGTTAAATCATAACTTATATAACCTACAGATCAGTGCAATTTACTCATTTCAGAGATAAGATAAAGAAGCGGATGCTTAGATCTCTGATTCCTGTGAAGAACCAACTGATTTTCTTTGAATCGTTTATAAAGTTCGATTATGTTATTCATGTTTTATGATAAAGAGGAGGAGAAAAATTAAAAGAAAATATTGTTTCATGCTTATCATAATCAAGGGATGATAAATCAACATCTATAAAACAGTGATAATCATTTGACGAAGATATAATTTACAGAACAAAATTGGAAGAATTCTTCTATCCCCGTTTCACCAGTGATAAAATGATCTCGTCATTTGCTTTGATAAAATTGGTATGATAAGCATGGGTTACGGTTAGATCTTATTCATCAGGAATGGACTTATCGATAAAATCGATTGCCTCCAGTCGTTTATAACCTCTGATCATAGCTTTACGTTCATACTTTGTGTACAAACAAGTTATTTTTAAAATTATTTTTTCAAAAAATGTTTTCCTGGTTTGTGGTCTCATTTTCAATCTAAACGGTTCAAAGGATTAGTGACATTTTTAATCAATGCAACCACTACTCAACCAAATCTTGTCATTTCATATAATCTTGTTGTAAGATCCATTTTCTGAAGGCTTTGTTTGTGAAAATCCTTCCATGTATACATTTGTAATTTGACATTATCGGTGCCTTCAGTTGTACATTTTATTAGTCTGTTCGATTCCATTTGAGATGTTTATGTTTCTATTTTATTATAGTTTCTATTTCTTTTGACTTCACTGAGTTTCTATGTTTCTGTGTGAACTGTATTATGTTGTTTAAGTTGATACTTAGTCATGGCGACAACCATATTGATTTGTTGCTCTTTTGATTGTGTTGCTTGCTTTGACTGTAATTGTGCATTTTGATTGTGGTGAATTGAAGCATTCTTCCAGAATAGGAAACAGTCTGTTTTGTAAACCAACCAAAAATTATCTTTCGAACGAATTCTATCTATCCAAGGGGTATAGAATACCATTTATTTGTTGCTGTTGATTTGAATAATTGAACAATTGTTGGTAGAAAAACTGAGTGATAATATTTGTTTAGGTAATGATTTACATTTATATTTATGATGCATATTAGAACCGTCATTTACCCAAATCACTTATTTTGGTTTTAAACTGGGTAAGGCGCTTGTCTAAACTAACTAGACAGTTATTCCTCAGTTCAAACATCAGTTTGGATCCTACACTATTCATTATTCCGTTTGTTCATTGAAAAAAAATGAAAATTTCACTCTAAATATGGTATAATCTAACTATACAACATCTGATATTAATTATTAGCAGACGTATATTCAAACAGCCAATACAAATGAATCTGATAACGTTGCAAATTAATAATCAATCTGAATAAATAATCACATGACCATTTTATATGTTTCATTTTTCGGTTGATGAGTAAGTTGTTTGGAATTCATTATCATTTCTATAAATTTATCGGTAGATTTATTTCAAAAATTATAACAACAGAAATAGATAAATGTAACTTGAAAAATAGTCAAAGCATATCTAACTACTGGACTAAGTAATTCGATGAACATTCAAATGGACCATCCTTGCTTTCCTACTAAATTACTTACATCTGTTATCTACTAGTGGAGTACAGCGCCGAGCCTCCCTTTCCAGTCCGATCAATTCTTTTCATGACTGTCTCCACTATTTTGCGCAAGTGTTCCTTGATCTATCACTTTTTCTTTGCTCACAACTATTTCGAATTACGGCTTGCCTCATGATGCAGTTCGATGATTTCTGTGATGTATCCTATTCATATCTAGCGTCTTTTCCTAGTGGAGATCATTATTTTCCTCTCTCAAGCAAAGTAATTCTTTGCTTATGTTATCTGGTCAACGGATTTGAAGTATCTTGCATAGACAACAACTTGCATAAAGATAAACACCTGTATTGTTTAGATGATAGCCTTTGTAATTCTCTAAGTTTCCTCTCCATACAATAGAACTGTCTTGATGTTCGTATTTGAAAATTGTGACTTATGTTGTTGATTGAGAATTGATTTTTCAGTTGCAGATAGCGCTCAATGGTAGAAATGCAGCGCTTACCGTGCTAATCCATGTTTTTCACGTCTGCATCACATTCATCTTGTTCATCAATGATATTTGCCAGGAAAATAATTCTAATTACTCAAAACCAATGAAACTTTTATCAAAAGTGGATTGATTACTTATACTCTATTACATTGACTGTTTCGATCTGTATGAATACATTGTATCATTCTCACCCTAGATTATTTCAACCATATGGATTTCATTAATTTGTGAAGAAATTTTCTAAAGTTTACTTATTATTGCTAATGTACTGTTTCCGTTAATTAGACGACCTCATTTACATGAAATTTAGTTTAAGGAATTAAAAAAAATGATGATAGACAAAATCACGTCAACTATAAACATTATATTATTTTAAACCAATGAAAATTCAATAGTTATTTTTTAATTATTATTACTATTGAAGAGAACAAAATAAAAACAATTGATCAGATGAACGAGCTCAAAAACACCTTACTTCTATCAGAATATATTAATTTATCATCAGTACAGTTACAACAAATCTAATTTGAAAAGTGAATCAATAAATACTGGTGATCTATTTCGAAATTTGCACACTTATTTGACGTAATTGTAATGAATAGTGCTAAATTTGACATTTAACGACAACAGCAACCATTGAACATTGTTTCATCAATAATTAAATCAGTTTGTTTTGATCATTATTAACAAGAATGTTTAAAAGAAAAGTGAAATTTAATGATTTACATGTGAGTGATATTTCGTTATTTTGTTTTATTAATCTAATCATTGTATATGAGTAAACGAGAACACATTATGCAGTTCATATGTGAGTTGGTAGTAATGAAAGATTTACTAAACATGCTGGTGACATCTATGTAGCGTTTATGGCACAGCATGAATGTGAGCGTGAAACCACCAAACTTGTACAATGTCGGTACTGTGATCCGATCCGATGCATTGTACATTGTTCAGTCCGAGCATACAGTGTAAGGAAACATCAGCACACTGCTTAAGATGATGTCCGATCGCATATCAGTGGTCGACACCCATGAGTGCTTGTGAGGTGTCATGAAACGTGGCGAGAATGTGAGTGATATAAACTTCATTGTCACAGTGAATGCGCTGCTTACGAATTGGTGTCACCTTATGGTGACTGCAGTGGTAGGCATCAAGTTTCTGTAACACAGCTAGTGACATGCGGTCATTAATACATAGTTATTCAGTCTGACATATTCATACACGTATAAACAATGAGAGTGAAGGATGAATGATTAATGGTCTTGTTTACTAAATTTCTTGTTAGTATATCGAGAAATGTTTGAGAAGTCAACTGCAAACAATAGTGGTGAAGTTTTGTTTTGTATATTAGACGGTTTAGTTGTAGATTGATTTCTCAACATAAGTAGTCACAACCCCTCAACTCATAAAATTCATTGTGTACAAATCCTACTCAGAACAGCGAGAACATACGACAGTTTACTGAGGGCACAAAAAGATGAACAATATGAACTAACTATTATTCTAAAAGACAGTTGTCCACGTAGGTTCACACGACTTAATCATTCGATTCAGAGTAGGTTACTCACACAAATCATCTATCTGAACTACAAATCTCCACCAATATCACAAGAAATAATTGTAAACACTTGAACAAAAGTTGAACATATTTAATGTCTTTGATCAGGAACCAGTGGTTTCGTAGAATGGTAAAGTATAGAACTTCATTCACACTAAATCGAATGTGAAAATATTCCATGACTATGGCTGGGAGGCTAATCCATTTGCGACTACATCACTCGAAATATTCAATCATGAATGAATTCATTTAATTTGGAAAATAAACACTCGTAATATTTTAGCAACGAATATGTTTTTCAGAGGATAAGTTTTTATTCTGAGAAATTCACTGACTACTAATCTATTTATTCAACCATGTTGCCTTTTCTGATATGATGTGATATACGATCTACGATTTCATTCCTATTTTTGTTATAAGTTGAGTGATATTAAATATCTGACGTTGGAGCAGTGTAGATTTTTCATGTTTCATAAATTATCATTCAACAATGGAATTCTAAATTAATGAAACAAACACAACTAAAATTCAGTTAAATTAATTGAGAAAAATATTGAATAAATCATTTCAGCAACTTAAAAGACACTTTAAGTAGAAAATGTATTCATTTACACTGTACAAGCTCATCATTCAGGTGTTTCTAATAGATTTCACAAATATAGTGAACTAGATGAACTAGTATGTTTTGAATTATATAATAACGACGTCTATAAACTCATAGTATGTTGTGTTGTGTAATTTATTGATACACTGAATTAAAGCTCAAGAATCATAGCAGTCTTTTTTTCAAATCTCGTGGTGGTGTATAAATGCACAGTGATGAAACATTTATCAAGTACTTTATGTTTTCTAGTATCCTATCCATTCAAAATAATTCTTGGTGCGAAATAAGACTCACGCAAAAAGGAGATGAATGATGGTCAGGAGTAGAATCCTGGAAGCACGCTTCATCCTATTCGGTGCTGGTCAGCTGGATCAATTGAATTGAATTCATTGATGTTGTATAATTTTATTCTGTAGAACTCTATTCTATACAAAAGATCAGCCGTATAATAAGTGGATTAGAAATGATTTCTATACAGCTTAACATTGTTTATCGTTTGAGTCAAAACTTTGAATTATTTTCACAATGATCACGTTTTCTGTGATAACGAAGTTACTAGAAACTACACTGCTTGATATATAAAGTGAATATATATTTATATATGAAATAGAAGTAGTTGTCAGTAATTCAATGAGATTATTTAATTGATGGAAAGTCATGAAATTAAATCAAGTATTGTATTTGCTATTAGTTTTAATGTATATACCATTAGTTTCATAATGAATAAGGATTGAATCTAACCATTGATTACAAACGAAAGATTTATTTTGCAAAATTTTTCATTTAATAGTAATACTCTATGAAAATTAGTTATCTACACAGAACACTTTGACTGAATCATTCAAAATCATTGTTGATTTATTGTCATAAACATCATCATCATCATCATCATCATCATCATCATCATCATCATCATCATCATCATCATCATCATCATCATCATCATCATCATCATCATCATCATCATCATCATCATCATCATCATCATCATCATCATCATCATCATCATCATCATCATCATCATCATCATCATCATCATCATCATCATCATCATCATCATCATCATCATCATCATCATCATCATCATCATCATCATCATCATCATCATCATCATCATCATCATCATCATCATCATCATCATCATCATCATCATCATCATCATCATCATCATCATCATCATCATCATCATCATCATCATCATCATCATCATCATCATCATCATCATCATCATCATCATCATCATCATCATCATCATCATCATCATCATCATCATCATCATCATCATCATCATCATCATCATCATCATCATCATCATCATCATCATCATCATCATCATCATCATCATCATCATCATCATCATCATCATCATCATCATCATCATCATCATCATCATCATCATCATCATCATCATCATCATCATCATCATCATCATCATCATCATCATCATCATCATCATCATCATCATCATCATCATCATCATCATCATCATCATCATCATCATCATCATCATCATCATCATCATCATCATCATCATCATCATCATCATCATCATCATCATCATCATCATCATCATCATCATCATCATCATCATCATCATCATCATCATCATCATCATCATCATCATCATCATCATCATCATCATCATCATCGTCATCATCATCATCATCATCATCATCATCATCATCATCATCATCATCATCATCATCATCATCATCATCATCATCATCATCATCATCATCATCATCATCATCATCATCATCATCATCATCATCATCATCATCATCATCATCATCATCATCATCATCATCATCATCATCATCATCATCATCATCATCATCATCTTTTTAATTTAATCATTGAAATAACAATTTCATGTTTTAATAGCTGTTGATAATCGTTTGCATTCAGTAAAACAATTACAATTTATAAAAGTTCAATTTTTCAAATAATAGAAATTCTCAACTTATACATCCTATTAAAATTACTAACATTACAGTGTTAATATAGTCATCATGTTCAAATTGAGAAAGGAATCATTCAAGTAAAATAAATGCTGTTTTTTATCGATTTCTAAAACGTATCATTTCTTGAAACGGAAGTTGACTTTAGCCTATTGAAAAAGAATAAGAAAGCAAAATAACAATTTTTAAACAAAAATTCGATATGTTGCTATGTTACGGTATCATTTAAATAAACGTGCTTAAAACAAAACTGGGACACATTTTTTCTGATATTTGGTAATATCTTAGCAACCTACCTGTTACTCGAACATCTTTACCTAGAATTAGATGATATCAGTGTTTTGAAAAGTAATTTTCTATGTTTTGCTTTTTACCTATTCAAACAAAAGCTATAATCCATATCGATAAACAATAAGCAACGCAGTAGATAATTTAATGAATAGTGTAATAATAATCTTTTTCATTTTGTTTATAACGACTGTGAAATTTATTGAACTGTAATATGTTTATAATAGTTTGACTGATGAGCAGTGCTCTTCCACGACTCCTACGACTCTGCAGGAATCAAACACAGGACCTTTGGTCTTGCAAGCGAATACCTAACCTATAGACCACTGGGCCAGCATTCAATGGTGTAAATATCTAACCTTGATCAATCTGAGGTTAGTCACAACCTCACCTACTGCCTCCACTAAGTAACTACGTGAATGCGACAGAGTCGAACTCCACTGGTAATGTCTTCTCACTATAACTCCGTAAATCTTCTCACGAAGCTAGTCACTAGTGAGCACATTTTACAAATACACACTATATACAACTATATATATATATATATATATATATATAAGTTGGTTTTATTGTATTCATGTAAGGTATGTATACTGTTTCCTCATCAAAAGATCAATTTCCGGTAGATAAGTGAGCAGATATGCAAACAATATTTTCGTAACTAATAAAACACATTTGAACTGATAACAGTTACTAGTTATCACATCATATTCATTTATTGAACTGAAATGACGAACTTTTTAAAAAGGATGACCTGAAAGAATTAAGTTTGTTTCAGTGTTCAATTGTGAGTATCATCATCTATATGTATATCACATAATGGCAAATTGAAATATTCAGTGATTTTGTTATTTGAAACCCGTTTTAACACAAATGATATTTATTAGTTTAACTTTTCTCAGAATGATTAAAATATTTCAATGTTTACTGTTATAGACTATTAATAGTTGGCACCTAAATAAATAAGTATATGTATATATATGGTCATCTTAAAAGATACTATAAATAGTCGAGAAGATGAATTCTTGACAATTGAGTCATTTTTAGTGCATTTAAACAAAATAACTATTGAGAATGTTTATATTACTATTACTATTATTATTATTATTATTATTACAATGATAGTAAAACATCTGATCATTAACACATTCATATTAAACATTTCAACACATTTTGGACGCAGATTTGTAATCAACTCTCAATAAAAAGTTTTATGATACTTTTGAATAAAAGAATAAAAGCAAATTTACTATGCGTTTGGAATGAGTAGGAGTCATTTATTGATTTCAATAAATGACCTTTATTGAATGTTGAAAGAGAATGTAACTTTGTTTTGTAAGATTGTTTCGATTTCTATTCAATTAAGATTTATGCTGCTATATTTGTATTAAAATGCTACGTTGACATAATTCAGTATTCTGTAGACTTTTGAGTTTTATTTAACTTTGAAATGCTAAACATTGTCAGACAACGAAGAGTGTAAAGTGAATATGAACGTTTAGAGGCATTAAACTACGGCTAATATTTTTGAGGTTAAATGTCAAACGAAATCTCTGTAAATAAATACATCGTTTAGATAGAATAATAGCATAATAACCGTCATACGTATGCATGCTTTGATGAATTTACTAAATTTTGTAGTTTTAATTTATTGATTGACGTGAAATGTTTCAATTACATTCAAACAATCTTGCTCAAGAGTGAAGATAATTACTTTACTAATCAAATGCAGATAGTGGCTTAAATTAAACCGAAGAATATTATTTAAAAGTTATTGTAGTAAATATATTCCTGTATTAATGAAAGTTAATAAGGTTATTTATGAAAGCTTTTTGCGCCTACTTTTTTAACGAAAAATTTATTAACTTTGTTCCCAGCTTTTTCGTCAGATGTAAATAAAATTTCATTGATGACATTCAAAAATGAGATGACTTAAAACAAAACTCATTGACAAAAACTGTACGAGAAATGTTACACAAATGATTAAGAGAAAATTTATCTACACACTGTTTGTTATGATAGATTTAGACAGTTATTACTTAAATTTCTACTGATATTTGACTTATTCATAAATTAAATTAAAAGTTTAATTCATATAACATTTAGGTAGATCAATGTTTATGTATATAAGTTATGTTTATCAGTTCTTAGTTATGAATAGAAATGAACTCACAATTCTACACCTTTTAACTTTGATGCTCAATCATACAGAACTGTAAGCTGAAATGTGATGTTCTTCAGTGGTTCTATTTTTTTGAGTAATCCAAAAGTGATGGAGCAAGTTTTAAAAGTTAATATGACAAGAAATTAGTACCGATGTGACATGCGCTATCCACTACCTCAGACTGACTACTCCAGTAAAAAGACAAGAGTGAAAGTAAAAATTCGTTTGGCTATCGAATAAAATGCATAGATATTCATTTATGCATAAACATTTCTTGATCTGTGATATTTCTCAGTCCTTTGGAACATTTCTGATTGGCATCAAGCAAACATCTCTTTTGACTGCTTCCAGTCGGTTCGCTGTAACAATTTTCTCTCATAAGTTTTGCTTTATGTACCTTTCCGAAGGTGTTGAGAGATCTGATGTTTTCCTGATGATCTTTTTAGGCAGGATTATCATTTCATTTCCCCTGACCTCGTTACTCCTGACTGACTCTATCAATCAGGTGATCTGTGAAACTTAGATTTTCCCAAACTTAGCCATGGGTATAGTTGTACGTTTCAATGGAAAATTTGCAGCCTGAACACACCGTAAATATTTCATCACGATAAGTTGAATGTTCGTGTTGGAGTTTTGTTCTCTGAACTGAATGTTTCGGTTGTGGTGCTTTCATTATCGAAAGGCTGAATCGATTCCAAATGCGATACGAATATTTTGATAGAGGTTCCACTGGGAGTGGGGTTGTGATATAATGAACTATTCGGAAGCAGCCAATTGAGGAGTTCGCTTGATACAAATTAGACATGTCCCAAAGGACAAAGGAATAACATTGATCGAGAGATGTTTTTGCATAAATGAGTATTTATGCATATTATTCGGTAGCAGTGAAGATTTTCTCTATCACTCTTGTCAGTTTACTCGAATAGTCAGTGTGAGGTAGAACATATTCAGAACTTGGAAGCCGCATATCGTACCAAACATAATCTCTAAGAGAATTTCGGTCTGTTTATAAACCAATCAGCACAAATTTAACAAACATTTTCATAGTAATATTACTTACAACTGCATATAAGGAGGTAATATTTCTTTGGTAAATTAATTCTTTGTCATTACATGCTAGACTTGTCTTATTATACTTCTTAGCTCAGTGAAATAGAACATTCTGAGTGTAATGAATATAGTAATTGTCGATCTATGTATTATCAGTACTCAATGGTTTCGTCAAGTTGTATTATGCAATGTACAGAGTTTAACTGGGCTGAGTCGATTATATTAAACAAACTTTTCGTGTCAAAATACAGAAATATTTATTTCAATATGTCATAAGGGCCGAATGATCAACATTATAAGGAATGAATCGCTATGATACACTGAATAGATTTAAGAAAGGGACAACAGGAATCAAGCAGTACATAACAACCGAATACGAGAAGAGTTGGCTAACCTACAGGCTGAACACATATATGCAAACAAACAAGTGAAAAGTAGCATTAGAACTGATAGAAAGAAATATGTGGAAAAAAATAGCAATCAAAGCAGGAAACGTTGCAACACAGGGAAACATGAAACAACTACATAATGCAATGAACATAACATTGCATAACGAAAACTAACATGGGAGAAAGACACCAGTCATCCGAAACTAACTAAACTGTTATTTCGATATAGTTGCGATTAGTTTCAATAACTTTGTTCAATGTCTTATAGTTGTTAATATCTAATCGTTTGTGATGACTAAACATTTCGAGTGTCTATAGACACAATTCAATAACAATAAATCATGTGGATTCAATTCCATTCTCATATTGTTTGCTTGAATGTAGCGCATCTGTGATTCATTATGAATTATTTAACTGAACTAAACTTTGCAAAAGTGAACCGAAAAATGGAGTCAGACAATCGATTACGTCTACTTGTATCTACAGACACTTTTGTAAGTTGTAAGATAATTAACCTAATCGATATGACAACACTGTGCGTTGCCTGTGATTATTGCATTAAATTCACTAGCATATTTGAATGTTGGTTAGAATTACTTATGCCTGTTTTCCGCTAATGCAGCATGGGCCACCGACCAGCATCCTCCAACCTTCTCTGTCTTGAGTGTTCCTTTCCAGGTCTAAGCAACAACTATTCGTTCTCTTCATATCTGTCACCGATTCTCAGTGCAGTGTACTCCATTGTCTACCACCATTCTCTTCGTCTTGAAGAACTCCAACTTATCACTATTTACCGTATCTCGTGGAATTCAAATATTGATTTTCTTGACAGATCTAGACTTCAAGTTATCCACATAATGAAATGGCAGTATGTCATGTGAAATTCTTTTAGTAGCCTGCTCATTTTCTCACATGTAGTTCTCATAAACTTGATGAGTTAGAAATGTCATGTTATCTGAATGTTTTAGAATGGATATTCAAGACTAAAGTGTATAATTATTGTGACATATATATATCGCTTGAACTATCAATTATACACTACACAATCATGCAGTAAAACTTGCTGAATACACTTTACAACCACTTCATGCTTCTTTTTTATTTCAAACGATGAATGTGACAATAGTTTTGTATTTCAAAAAAGAAAAAACAATAAATACATAAATGAGTTAAATTTGTGAATTTTTGTATTTCAATGTTGAATGTAAAAATGATGTTAGGATTGTTCAGAACAAAAAAAGAGAGAAGAAAGTTGACTATGATATTTTCATGCAGCCAAAACACACCATCGTTCGATGATCATTTCATTTTTTTTAATGGAAAACAGTGTGTGACAAGTAATTTCATGTGTTTTTTTGTGGGATTCTTTAGAAAAACTAGTAGAGATATGATCACATATGTTTTTAAAAATAAAAACAAAACAATGCCAACTAAGACATCACATCATTTGGCAAGGTGTATTTATTGCAAGGCAGCATGGTAAATAACATCAATGAAATAGTTTATTGTAAAGATTTAATTAAACAAATTTGTTACAACATTCCGGTGATATTTTGTTTCTCAACTAAATTTAATGCATCTTGAACAATTTCTGAAATATTTTGTCAGTCAAAGAATTTGTATTTGTTTACTTGTCGGATTAAGGTGAAAGAGGGAGGGTTTTAAGGTAAAGTAGTGATTCCTTAAAAGTGTGACACAATGCTGTATACATTTATGAATTTCATTATACTTTTATACAAAATGTCTATCAATGTAATACAATAGGTAAGTTTCACTTGATTCAGTCATTGTCAACATGAAGCGCTCACATTCCAGTGCTTTTGTATTGAGTTTTAAGATTTCACTACAGTATCTACATTACCCTCATTATCACAAGTCCGAGAACAAATATGCTTTTGAAATAGTCAAGTCCTTTTTATCTTGATTCAGAAATTGAGATGGTTTCATATCTGACAAGAGTTAGCTTCGTATAGAAGCTTAGAATTCATTTTGAAAATGTTACTTTCTGAATTTCTGATGACCAGTTGAGGAAAAGAGATTGACAATTTGACTGAATTCATCATTACACAACAGTATCAAGTTTTCTTTGATATGAAGTCTATTCAGATTATATTTAATAAGTAAACAATAGTTGAATACTTGAATGCACAAATTAAAGATCTTTTGTACACGAAACTAACACACACTTCTTCTAGCTAAAGCAATGGTACAGAAAGTCTGATTAATCAATGAAGAAAAGAGTTTCCAAAATCAAATGTTAGAGCAAAGTTGACATTTGCTGATAGTAGATAGGTGTCTGAAGACTAAGATATGTGTTAAACTTCTGTACACTTATGCTCTGTTGTAGTTAACTGTAGTTTAAATAGAAGATGAAGTGTAGTAAGTGATTCTGTATTCAACGCTTTGAATCGAGACCTTAACAAATGGGTAGCAGTAAGAAACGAGAACAAAAATCTTTCATATCACTAATGTCAGATCAATCTACTCGTAGACATATTGTACACATAGCTGAATGTCCATCACAATTATTTTGATATAAATTACTCGTCGTAATTCAGTTTATAGAATCTAACTACTACAAATATACCTTGTCTCTTTATCGAATAATGACACTTTCTTTTTCTGGTCAAAATGATGCATGAGGAATAAAATCGTGAAACTCTCAACACTTCCGGTAGGTAACATGTGTATATCAAGCTGAACTATGAGTGACTCTGTAAAATGAATTCAGATTATTCAGTAATGTTCCGCAAAATATCGAATTGTAAGCTGACAGATATCGACTCAAAGGAAATAACATCTCTCATTTTCTACATTGAATAACTTCACATGTACCGCGAATCATGTCAACGCTAAATTGATAAAGTTTCATTTTTTAATTTATTGATTGGATAGTTCTAAAATGTCAAGCAATTCAAAAGACACCTTATAGCTAATCTATGTATTGTTTAAACGTCAGTGATCCATACCGAATAGGTAACACCTGAATGAAGCCAAGACAGATAGGTTTCTCAACAAGTACAATACTATTCAGCTAATAATTTGAAGGTATAAAATTGTCTGAGTGAACTGCCAAAGTTATTGACGATGTATTGGAAACTTTCATAAAGTATCATGATTGCATAACTGTCTCATTCTTCATTCCAGTAATTCAGTGAAATTTAATATTGTTACGCATCGCACGTTACTATATTTGCTGATATACTTGAACTACTACGAGTTCACCATACTCGGTAAACGAGAGCGACACGACAGACTACTCTAATCCATATGTAACAGACGGCCGTTAAGTAGGAGAATTTAGATCTGATAGGAAGTAGGACGTGTATTGTACAAGCACACAGAAAATATGAGGTCCGAGTCCATAAAAGTATAAGCATCCGAATCATAAACCGTTACAGACAATGTATATTTATGCAGCGAGGTCGAATACGAAACAATATCTGAAGTATGTGACACTGATAGTTACGACGACCAATAGTAATTAACCAATTGAAATAGACTTACAAATAATTCTTTTAGGATATTGGATGGATATCCTAACAAAAATCTAACCAGAAAGTGTAGCAGTCGTAATATAAATAACTATTAGGCTTATTTCACTAGAATGAATCGGTAGAAAAAACATGCTACAGCTTAGTTTCTATCAACAATTGTATCGACATTATTTTTATTGTTAGCCAACAAGATCATCAGACAATATTTCAACACTTATTTGACACCGTCATTTCAATGATACTATAGTAAGTAATATAAGCTGAAACATACTTTCAAATAATTCACTGTAGATAAATATTTTCACATGTATAAGAGAATAAAATCTTGATTTAAGAGTAAACTTATCTTCTATAAACTTAAAAAGCTACTTGAAGATGTATGGTATTTACCTTTTAAAACGTTATCTTACTCTGTTATAAATCATTTCAAACCATATGATCACATTTGACAGCCTGTTGATAACACAACTGTTGTTTTGAACCGTTTAACTTCGAACTTTAATCATAACTGAACAATACTCTTATAGCAAATCATTTATTTATTATATATCTATTGAAATCATGAATCGATCAATGTTAGACCGTCATTAGAAATCTGGAAGCGCTAGGTGGCCATTTCGTCCTAGAATGGGACTCATCAGCAGCACGCATCCACGATATCATTGAAACTCGTAAAATCTCCATAATTAAAAAATATTTAAATGTATATCTATGTATATGTAATCAGTTTCTACAATTTTATATTTTTGTAATTTCATTTCTTTAGAATTCACAAACAAGCAGTCCGATCGAAATATTGGCGTTACGAGAAAGATGCATCGATCGTCGTCCAGCTTGGATTAAAGCATTATGCGCGTTTCTTATGATAGCAAGTCATTATGGTATACTCAATGTTGGTGCTCTATTCTACCCTGGATTAGAAGAAACATTACAAGTTTCATTTAGTTATCTATTCTGGCTTATGACAGGACAATTTGCAATCACATGTTGTTTAGGTATGTATTAGATCATCATATCAACTGATATTGTGGTCTCGAATTGAGTAAATTCTTTTCAAACTTGTCAACAACATTTTTGTTTAATTGTGTAATAAGGAAGCAACCAATTATGGCTGGTGATAATTGAAATTTTTCAAAATTTTGAAAATTATTAAATTCCGTTGTTGAAATGAGTAGGCGAAAATTTTTTACGCTTGAAATCAATATTTCATAACCAAAAAAAAACTAGTGAGCATTATCATTTTTGCAAATAAGTTTAAAAAAAGCGAATTCTTCCACAGATTATTTTGAACTGCTTTGAATGAATCGAATACTATTGGTAATTGTTAATGATGAACTCCCCCTAGTTAGGTGGTTTATTTGTAAATCTTTCATGGTCCTTATGGATGATAATAATGAATAAGACTTTTTCTAGTTATATCACAAGCGCTGAATCGGTTTGTGTTTGTTATTGGTTGTTTTGACTGACTTTTCTCTTGCTACTGATGGTTATTGACATAGTTACTCATCGAAATGATGTACAAATTATTAGGGTTTATCTTTCATAGTTAAATCCAATCTATAGCCCTTCTAGAGTTTCTGCCAATCCCAAGTTTGGATAAAAGAGGAGATTTGGCATTTGGATTAACAATCCCATCCTGTAGAAATCCAACTCTCTAAAGAAAATATAAGTTAGACTGGAAAATAGTTCTCTGGTTGGCGGCCTATGCTCTACTAGGAGTAACAAGTGTAACTAATTAAGGAAGTTAGGTTACTTACAATCCCAAGCTCGGATTAGGCAGGAGTTTTGGGCATGAGATTAGCTATCCCATCCAGTAGAAATCCAACTGTTTTCAGAAAAAATAAGTTAGCGACGGCCTATGCTCTACTAGGAGTAACAAGTGTAACTAATTTGGTATGTATATAAATCTGTCATAG